GGACTATTGACGCTTAGAATCATGGCATCACCTGTCTCCTCTGTCATGTTGGCAGATTCATGTGCATTAGTATCTTTTTTCAGTACTCAGCAATCTCTTTTAAAGTGACCATTCTTGCCACAATTATAACAGGTAAAATCTTTCTTTCCTGTTTTTGATTTGCCCCTTCTGGATTTCGATCTGCCACGATTTAAATTTCTTTCTGAAGTTCTCTCTCTAAACTCGGTGTGCAAGGCTGATGAGGTTGATGCTTCACCCGATTCTCTCCGTCGAATTTCTTCGCTCAATACCAGATCCCGAACATCATCTAATTTTAATTTGTTGTTTTCTGACGAGCTGCTGACTGCTGTAACAGTAGCATTCCAACTGTCTGGTAGAGATGATAAGAGAATTAAAGCTCGAACTTCATCATCGAATTCAATTTCCACGGAACTCAACTGAGTTGTGATTGTGTTGAGTTCATTCAAGTGTTGAGTCATTAATGTCCCTTCTGCCATCCGCAAATTGAATAATCGCCTCATTAAGTGCACTTTGTTTGAGGCCGATGACTTCTCATACATAATGTAGAGAGCCACCATAAGACCCGCCGTGGTCTTTTCCTTTGCTATGTTGAAAGTAACATTGTAGGATAACGTCAGTCAAATAACTCCGAGGGCTTGTATGTCGAGAAGAACTCAGTCTTTATTCTTCATGCCCTCTAGTTGCTTTCCTAAGAGAGGTTGATATAAATTTTTTTTGTTACATAAAATCTTCAATATGTATCTTCCAAAAGTCAAAGTCCGCACCATCGAACTTCTCAATTTTCACCTTCCCTTCGTCTGCAGCCACCGCTCCCACTCGAATCTGGCTTCGTTTGGATCGTTTCTGACAATTCTTGCGAACCACCGTATATTATAACACATCCGTCGATAAATTCGTATCGCCAACAAAATTTACTAATCACTATTTACGTGAATAGTAATGAATAGTAACCCCGCAAAAAATTGACAAAATTCACAACCAAAAGCTTTGATACCAGTTGTTGGGAAATAAACGAGTAAACAAGTAATTTCACTATAACCAGATTAGTGAGAATACGAAATAAAAACGAAAAAATAATACCCGAAATTGATATCGGAGTTCAGTCAATTATGCATACGTCTCCGGACTGCTGCAAATCTTTTACTAAGAGAGAAAATTTGCAGGTGTTTACATAACACTTACTACTCATAAGCAAGCTCTCTAGTATTGAGAGAAAGAAACGATTTGGGATGATTTTGAAGCTAAATGAGCTAGGGTATTTATAGTTGAAGCTTAGGGATTAATCTTATAAATACCCTAAAAAATACAATGACTAAAATTACAATTACCCAAAAAAAAATTAACAAAACATTTATGGCACCGAATTCTGACATCACTTTTTAAATTCTTCTTTATTATAATTCTTTAGTGTCATTGTTTGTATATAGTATTAGTAATTATCTCACGCGTAGAATATTATTATTTTTTAATTCAAAATTTTTAAATCTTCTTGTTAAAATGTTTATACTCAAATTATTAGTTTATTAAATCTTAATCTTACAACTTGTATATTGGAATTTAGCATATTAAAAAAGATATATTTATTTGCGGGTAATATGGTAAATCAATTTGCTAGCATATGGCCAACCTTTTTATGCATTCACAGACGAAATTTTGGGTGTATATTGATGAATTTTGGAACCTGAATAAATCATTATGCAACACAAATATTAATTTTGTTTAGGGTTTCACTTAATTTATTGTTAGAATGTTGGAATTTTTTTTGGTGACAAAAACATATGCGTACGATAGTATTTATTTATTTATTTATTTATTTTGTGACTATATTTCTCAAAAAAATTGACTAAAATAATTATTTTGGTTACATACTACAATAAAAAATTTCAAATTATTATATGTAAGAAACTTTGTTTTATTTAATTATTAAAAAATAAGAATCAAATACAAAGAATATTTGTCAAGAATATATAATATTCTTCTGTTAATCCCATTGAAAACACATGCATATCAAATCCAACTCATCCCAACTAAATACCAATCTCACGTTTAATCATGTTCCAGATTTAATTTTTTTTAATGAAATTAAAAAATTTCTTATTGAAAAATATTATAGTATATTCTTCCGGCGTAGCAATCTGGGAGGGCATGATCCCCAAACATATATCCTTCAGAGCCCATGCGTGTCAATTGAGACGATTGTATGCCTTGAAGCTCATGGAAATAACTGCCTCACCTACTTGAAATTAATAAGCATGTAATTTTATTATTATTACTATTATTTTATTTGACCTATTAAATTAAATTTCACATATTTTCTTAGGGATACACTTATCCCTAGGAGCTTAGTGCATCCACCCCTCTAGAGATTTTGAAAGAAAGAAAGAAAGAGCCTCCTCATGTAGTCTATCGTCATCATAACACCAGAACTCATCACAAATATTAACAGCATAGATTTTGTTAAAGTTTCGTCGAGTCATGGTATTACAGTGAAAATATCTTGTATTTCGGTCATTCTGTTCAATCCATTCATTACGGAACTTCTGTTTCCAATGCAATTCTTCCTGCTCAAGAATCTTTTCCATTATGCTTTTAGATAAATTTCAATACCATATAATGCCTCATGCCAGATTCACAAGCAAGTTTCTGGATATCTTCAATGTGACGGATTTAGTCTAAATAAGTACTTCCTAACCAACCATTCTTTTTCCTTGATAGAAATATAACCGATAATCAAAAGGCGAATACACTAAGTCCCATAAGAGTCAAGTGTATTCCTATTATTTTAAAAAAAATATTAAATTTAGTTTAATATGTTAAGAAAAAAAAAAGAAAAAAATATTTTTTTTGCATCCCAGTTACTTTTAAAAAAAATTAAAATTTTAATCTTAAATTTTTTAGAACTGTCATTGCAGGTAATACTATTATTGCACATGAACTTATCCATTCTATGTGATGTAAGACGGGAAGAAAAGGGTGAATGACTATTAAGATAGAACTTACAAACCTTACAGTTTTATCTCTACTGTGTTAATCTTGTTCATCCTATGATCAATGTGGTCCAACAGATGCCATAAATACCCAATGAGATTGCAATGCTTCAAATTATTTGATTGAGAAAAAAGTGGAATCTGTGAACCCCAACAATCTGCCACATCAATCTATATTTTCCCCTCGATGGGGGGGTTCTTTTAAAGTAGATTTGTGGGAAGCAGTTGAGATTTTGCATGTTGCCCAACCCCCTCAAAATCTTTCACCTTTTCTACATTTTATCGACATTTACTGACACGTGGCTTAAGATTAAGATAGATAGTATGAAGGAGATGACGTCTAAAGGTATTGTATTGTAATTAAACCAAGGCTAGCTGAACTTGGTAAGCTACTACTTCCACGTGGGCCATTCAAAACTCTCCACGTATATGATCCCGAACGTTGACATCTCCAAGTTGATAAGGTCATGGGACAATGTTTGACACATTCTTTCCTTTTTTTTTTTTTTCTAAATTTCATAAAAGAAAAAAAATGTACAAAGATAGTTAATATGTTTGGGAAGTGAATAAAGTAAATTGAGAATGTTTCTCTCATAATAAATTTTCTATAAAACTCGATTAAATATAATTGATTAAAAAAATTAATTAGTGCAGTAATCTAATTAAAGAACCTAAGCTTCAGGTCAAATAGTTTACAGTGGTTAACGAAGGAATTAATGCAATGGGAAAGTGGTTGACTTTTGACGAGCCGATAGCCAATTGAAATCGAAGAAGAGAGTGGTTAATGGAATGCACGAGCTTCATCACTTTGCATTGTACATAAGCAAAACTCTCCCATTGTCCAACGCATCAGCTTGTACTATGACCAGCTATCATATTGCTTAGCTATCACATAGCCTCACTACCCTATTTAAACCCAACCCCTGCTTCGATTCCCCATCGGAGAACTATCTTCCACAAACCAACAATGTCAACCACTTTCTTATTCATCATGTTTTTCTTCTACATCTTCCTTCTTTTATCTCCCTCATCTCGGATAACCAGATCGAGTTCTGGAATTGTAGCTGCAAGTGCCACGAGACCATTAGTATCCAAAGCTCAAGATTTGGTCACATTCTATCTAAAACCTGGAATGGAACATGGTTTTCATAAACAAGACGTGAAGGGTTGCTTGCCTAAAGGGTTTCATCGTACATCATCACCTAGTCGGTATATAAATGATCGTACTTTCAATTTGACAATATGTTCAATGACTTCATATGTTTCGACCAGACCATGAGAAATTTGATCATATATGAAGTTCGTTCGTGTTGGGTATAGTATATACATAGTGTCCTTCAAACTAACTATATATGTAGGTAGATGATGAAGTTTAAAGGTTATGTAAGGAAGAAATTAACGGAGATGTAACTCTGTGTATGTATGTATGTATATATATATATATATATATATATGATGAATGATATGGTAGGGAATAAGAAATCAATTTGTTTGAATTTCTATCATCACTATTCTTTCAATTGGTATTAATCAAATTATATAGAAATATTTGTTATATCCCTCATGATTTATCCAAGAGTTGATTCATGTATTGAGTCATGTGAAAGAAGAAAATATTTCCAGTTCAGATAGGCTTGAATAGGTATTGATTACTCACTAAAAATTTTCAATAAAATTGAATGTCAAATTAAACAAATATATCTAAATATGTGTTCACGTTGGACATAATTAATTTATTAAGAAGGATAAAAGTTAAGAACTAATTAGTTCTTTAATCTTCAATACAACTAGCAGTTGTTGGCCTCTGGAGGTTGATGGTAGACTTGTATTCCAATAAGGTATTTGTACTGTATTTTTTGTTAATATAATCCTATTTAAATTGTTATATGTTAAAATAAAAATTAGTACTTCAATTATTCATCCTATGTGTTGATATCTGTATCTATATCTAACTAACCCTCCCTGAAAATTCCTGAAACCTTTTAGAAATAAATCCAGCATCTACTCCAATGATTTCTCAGCGCTTCTCCTCACGATTCTCCCCTTTTCTCAAAACCTTGATTAATTCCAATTTTCCAGAACACAATTCTGGTTTTTTTCTGCAACCTGTTTGAAAATTCCATGTTCAAGCTGTGATGGGTTTCCTTCGAAGTGAAAATCAATGGGCTTGGAGAGATGAAGAGTTGGATGATGCGCAGTTGACAGTAGAACAGCTGCAAATTTGTTGCGAGTCAGTTTTATATGGATTTCTCTGTTTTTTTTTTTGGTTGAATTCCATAAAATTAGATTTTGCAGAAAAATTGTGAATGCTTTGTTGAAAATCTGATTTCTTATTATCTTTTCTCATCCGCTATTTCTTATTATGTTTGGAACCAGAATTATGTTCATTGGAAAGAGCTTTCAAGTCCTTTCACTTTTGGTGCCAAGAATAGTAAGATTATTGTGACAACCTGTGATGATAATGTAGCAGCAATCGTGAGGAACGTTCCGACTTATTATCTTGATGTCTTATCAGATGATGATTGTTGGAAGTTGTTTGTAAATCATGCATTTGATGCTACCAGCCCCAGCAAACATCCAAATATGATGGAAATCGGTAAAGCGATCGTTAATAGATGCAATGGTCTCCCTTTGGCTGCAAAAACACTTGGAGGTCTTCTGCGTTGTAAATTAGACCCTGATGATTGGAGTAAACTATTACATAGCAACTTTTGGGACATACTACCAGATGATGCATCCAATATTCTTCCGGCATTTAGATTGAGTTACTATTATCTTCCTTCACATTTGAAACGTTGTTTTGCGTATTATTCTATTTTTCCTAAAGATTATGAATTCCATAAAGAAGAGCTCATTCATTTATGAATGGCTGAAGGTCTTTTAGAGTTTTCCAAAAACAATGGTGATGCAGAAGATCGAGGTAACGAGTACTTCAGAGATTTGAGATTGAGGTCATTTTTCAACAATGGAAGGGGAAGAAAAGTGGTTTTGTCATACATGATCTAATTAGTGACTTGGCTAAATCCATCACTGGAGAATTTGTTTGCAGATTGGAAGGTAGTGGTGGTTCATGTGAAGTAATTGAAAGGGCTCGTCACCTGTCCTGTGTCCAAGAAAATATGATGTGCGAAAGAAATTCAAGAGATTACCTGAAGGTGGTGGTGGTTATGTGAAAAAACTCGTCATTTATCCAATGTCCAAGAAGAATATGATGTGCAAAAGAAATTTGAGGCTTTACCTAAAGCAAAAGGTTAAGGCAAAAGGTTTAAGTACATTCCTAAACATGAGGTCTTCTTATGCTAGCAATGTGCTAATTCATGATTTGCTGGTTAAATCAAGCTTTCGAGTGCTTTCTTTGGCCAAGTACGAAAATATCGGTGAATTACCAGAAGAAATTGGTAATCTGAAGCATCTGCGAAGTCTGGATCTCTCAGAAACATCGATTAGAAGGTTGCCGAACTCTTTGAGTACACTGTATAATTTGCAAACTTTAACGTTGGTTAAATTCAAAAACCTTGATGAGACATGGAGTAATTTGCAAACTTTAACGTTGGATCTCTCAAATGTCGTATCTTTGGAGTTATGGAATTGTAAATTTTGCATTTCCTTGCCATCACTTGGGCAATTATAATCTCTCAAATCTCTCCTTATTTCTAGGTTCAGCGGAGTGGTAACAGTGGGTGATGAGTTCTACGGGAATGGGCACGCTTCAGATAAATCATTTGGATCTCTTGAAATTCTATGCTTTGAGGATATGGCAGAGTGGGAAGAATGGTTTTGTTCGAGTGATGAAGTTTTCTCTCTTTTGCAAGAGCTGTTCCTAAGAAGCTGTTCCAAGATTGTGAGAAGCTTGGAGGCTCGCTTCCAACAGCACCAAGCCTTTTCAAACTAAAGTTAGAAAAATGCAATGCATTGCAATTGGAGCCATTGCCCTGCCGGCTTCGAGAGTTGGTGATCATAGATTCAAATATTGACAGTTCCATATTGGAACAGATGTTGCAACAATGCACTCATCTTGAAAAGTTGTCCATGCGGGATTGTTCTGGTATCGCATCCCTTCCCGACTCTAGTGTGCCTATTAGGCTGAAGCAATTGTGCATCATAAGCTGCAAAGTCTTGAATTGTTCCAAATCCTTGTTGTTTACATCCCTTAAATCCTTGCAGATAAGAAGCAAGAAGTGTCATCCGCTAGAATCTTTCCCATTAGGATCATTCCCTATGTTAAATAATGTTTCTTTCTAGGGATGTGAAGACTTGAACTTCATTTGTGCTTCAAAGGACTCTCACCAGCAGCATCTAGCAAGCCTCAGTTCTTTGAGTATACATTCGTGCCAAGATTTTATATCTTTTCAAACCCAAGGCGGATTGCTCATCACGAATTTGACCAAACTTCGTCTTTGGGATTGTCCAAGTTTAAAATCATTGCCAGAGCAAATGCAGTCCGTCTTCCCATCCCTTGTGATGTTGGCAATAGGAGATTGTCAGAAATAGTCATTTCCAGAAGAAGGTTTGCCCTCCAAATTAAAATACATCACTATCTTCGGAAGTGATAAGATCATTGCGGGGTTGGTCGCGAAAAGGGAACGTTGTTTGCAAACACACCCTTCACTTACATATTTCGAAGTCTCAGATACAGAGTTAGAGATGAAGAGTTTTCCGGATGAAAATCTGCCCTCTTCGCTTACATCTCTCACTATCTCTGATCTTCCAAATCTTAAGTCTTTGGACTTTAAGGGCTTTCAACACCTCACATCCCTTCAACGATTGTATATCTACCATTGTCCAAAGCTCCAAGCGCCAACAAAGATGCTCCCACGTTCTCTTTTGTATCTCTTCATTGTGACTTGTCCATTGCTGAAGGAACATTGCCAGGAGGAGAAGGGAAAAGATTGGCACAACATTTCCCATATCCTTGTCATTAAAATTGACAATGAAGTCATTCTATAGAAGGGACAGTTGAGTAGTTGACTGAGGATAGGAATGCCTAAATGAGTCCCTTACCATCCTCACGCAGGTATTCCCTTCATTTTCCTTAACCATCCATTTCTGTTTTTACTTCCGTTACTCAAGGTTTGACTTGTGCATTTTTTTTTCTCTTGATTGAGTTAGATATGCAACTTTTGTGTTTTTCCTGGAAACCACCAATAAAACCAAAAAATCATTCACCTTAGCTTCTCTCCATCCCTCAGAACTTTGACAAATTCCAATTTTCTTGGGGACAACTCTCCTTTTTTTCAGCACCTTTTTTGAAAATCCCATCTTCCAGCTTTGATGGGTTTTTTCTGAAGAGAAAACATTGGTTTTGATGAGAAATTAATGGGTTTGTGGGGTGGGGGAATTTGGAATCATTAGTGCTTGGAGAGGAGGAGGGAATTTGGAACAGTTGGATGTTGCGCCATTGACAGTTGAATTGCGGCAAATTTCCAGTGAGAGTCAATTTGATAGAGTCATTGCTGAAGCTCAACAACTTGAGGAGTCTTAGATTATTCTTTGGTTTGATTATTCTTTGATTTGATATGAATTTGTATGCTTTATTTTGTCGTTTGATGCATCGGAGAAAGAGTTTAATTTTTCCGGCCAACGCACGAAAGGCTTTGTTGAGAATCGGATTTCTTTATAGGCTTAATATCAAAATAAGTGCTCAAACTATATCGTTTTTTTCAAATAGATGCATAAACTAATTTTCGTCACATTCAGATGTCTAACTTTATAAACGTTACTTATTTAGGTGTCTTGGCTGGTAACGGTGTTAATTTCCCGTTAAAAGACACATTTCACAACTTGGTAATTTTAAAATTTTTATTTAAAATTAAAAAAATTAAAATTATATATTTAAAAAAAACACAAATTTTGAAATAAATTCAAAACTTTGAAAACCTCCATTTTAACCCCTAAACCCACATCATCCATCGACGAAGTTCCACCCGACCTCCCCTCCTCTCGGCAACCAAAACTCCCATGAAATCATGATCGGTCGACAGCTTATCTACAATGAATCAACGTTTTAAATTGCTCGAACGCTAGAATTAAAATTGCGATTCCACGTGATTCATACGGCCAATCGACGAAAAATATGACAGTGTATGTGTAGGAGGATGGTAGGGACTATGTCGATGGCGGTGGTCGTGGTCAGAAAGGGCAGCAACGGCGGATTAAGGTTATGATTTGGGATTTTTGGGTTGTTTTATAATATAAGAAAAGTTAGTATTTTTTATAATTATCATAATATTTTTACTATTTTTATTTTAAAAGATTCATAATCACCAGATTATGACACGTATCACTTAACGGTGGAAATTAGCGCCGTTGACGACCCGAGCACCTAAATAGGTAATGATCGTAACGTTAGGCACCTGGATGAGAAGAAAATTAGTTTAGGTACCTATTTGGGAAAATTGGTATAGTTTGGGTACTTATTTTGGAATTAATCCTTTCCCATTTAATGTTATCATTCTAAGCATTGAGATTTCGAGTTTGATCAAAGTTGTTTTAGAGATCCATTGAGCATTGAAATTAATTTCCAAAAAGTCTTTCTCGTTGTAGAATCCAGATCAACATGTTTTAGCGTTCCATTTTCTTATTGATATTTCGAGTTTGATCCTAAAACAAAGTAGATTGAACTTGAAGGATGGCAAGCTGGTGCAGAGAATGTATATATTTGAAGCCGAAATTGGAAAAATTGGCAGCTGATTACTATCCGAGGTTAGATAAGTTCCTTTTTAAACTCTGACACTATTAGTCCGGTCTATCACAACGAACCTAGCGTGGTTCCCTTGTGTGTCAAATCATTCTGGTTTGTCATTTGAATTCTGCATTTTTCTTGAAATACTCATGGTGTACATTCAAATATGGATATGTAAAAATGACCTTCCAAAGACTTCTGAATATCCTTTAAATGCTTAGAAAAACTTTGGAAAACTGAATATTTCCATGTTGGACACATTCAACATCTGGAACGTGTAACTATAAATGCATCTATGTTCCTACATGTGTAGTTGGACGTATAACCCCTTTTTTGTTATTAACTTTTTCATCTGTCAAAAGGAGTGTACTTGGGAGATTTTTGGCTCAAGTTGATAGAGAGATTTAGGAGATCAACCTCATGCATCTCATTGCAAAATCCATAAGCTGTATACAAGTGTTTCTCCCTGTTGTGGCTTTAATTTGAAGTCCATTGGGGGATATGAATCTTTTCCTACCATTCATTAAGACCATGATCTCTCGACTCGTTTAGTGTAGAAAGAGTTGTTTTCTTCATCATTCCATGGAACTATGTAACTAAAAATGTCATCAATAGTTTACAGCTAGTTTGAAGGAATTCAGCATCTCATGATGTTCATATGCTCGGCTCCTTTCTTCTAATCCTTGTTACTACGGATGACAGATGACGGAGTCGAGCAGCCGCTTTTCTGAATTCTTATCATTTCTTCATCTGATACTCCAACTTCAATTTTCTTGAAATACTTGTGCCTAACACATTTTCGGATACAAATATGAGGATATGATACTCCAAAGACCTTTAGAATATATGAAAAGGCTTAGAAGAAATTGTATGCACGTGTATCGTACATGTGCATGTATCTGATACTCTTAAACAGAGAAAGAAAAGCATCTAACATACAGTTACCCTATCCTTGAATCTTGAGATTTTTATTTTATTTTATGTTTTTGCACTTCCCACTATTGGATCTCTTCTAATACACGCATGATCTGCTATATTTATATAGTTATGAGTTTATGATTGAGCTGAACTGATTATTCCTTTATGCATGTTTCGATTCAACGTCAACTCTCCAGAAAAGGCTAATAATACAGGTTAGTATCATTTCTTTGGAAAACATAATTTCTACATTCAAGCTGTTCATTTTTTTCAACCCATATTCTTCAGTGCTACAACTACAAGTACATGAAAAAATTGAACACAAAAACTGCATATCGGACGCATGCTTGTATCTGGTAATGGTGCACTTTGATAGTTTGATTTGCTTACAGTGTTGGTCGCACTTGTTTTCAACTGATAATGGTTTTAGTATTACAGTTACGAAGAGAGCAAGAAACAGGCTGAGGCGATTAGTGGCCACAGAGCATATTTGGTTGTTAATGATTGATAGAAAATGAATGTACCTCGTGAGTTTTAAGGACATTTTTTCTGTCTCTATTAACCTTTCATGTTCAGATATAAGATTTAGCGGATCATGATTACATTTGCATGCCTCCAGAATTCAATTACTTTGTAAGAATAAATAAATAAATAAATAAACAGAAGGAATCAGAGAACCACAACGAACTTACAATGAAGATGCTATGCTGTTAAACTACTTCCCTAACACCAATTGGAAAATTAGAAAATAAAGTAAAAGGGTTTCGAAAAGGTCACATATATACACACATGAAAATTGCATGTACAAAGAAAAAAAGAATAGTTAGTTGCACCTTTCTCCAAGGTACTACTAGCAAAAGCAGACTAAAGCCATCCCCAAAGGAAATCTACAACCTTTTGAAAGAGACCAGAAGCCATATAAAATGCCCTTTGGAAGAGGTTTATATCTAAATTTATGGTCGACATGGTTAGCCATCCTCCCTTCAAAGTATCCACCATTTTTTCCTTTTCTTGCTCTCTAGCATCGGTTGTTCTGGACATTAGACGTAAAACGTAAAATATTGTGTCAATGGGCCATGATTTGTAAATAACTCCGCTCAATATGAATATGAATATGATAATAAGTTAATAACTACATGATCTTGTATGATGAGAAAAAATAAATCTTGAATACTAGTACATGTCTGGCACGGTTGAGAACACCAACTTCTTTTCTTTTTTTTTGAAGTTTTTCAGGATACTTGGGGTGATTATACCTTATACCCATGTCCGAATATTAGGTATCCTACTCGGGTTAAATTAAGAATCACAATGAAGTTCAAATAGATGCATGTTGATGTGTTTAGGGTTACCTTCTTCAGGATAAATCGAATTATAGTGCACCTCAGCCCAGAAACTCAAGAAAATAACTGCAAAATCACCACACACAAACAAGCAAAATGGAAGTGAGTATTAAGTGAAGTACACACAAAATCAAACATCCAGAACGGCCATGTTAGACAAATATAGCACTACGTAATCCAATTCTACAAGGTGGAGTTCCTCGATGGTGCTATTCTCAGTCCTAGATTCATGATGGAAATCTCTAAACAACTACACAGTACTATAATTTACAGCAAATGCAGACAACTCAAAAATACTATTTTACACAAATTCAAGGAGTACAAATGGATCATGGTGTGAGAAAGAAAATCTCACAAAACTGCATACAAATGTAGTTTATATAAAGATCAGTAAGATTAAGGATCCACGAATTCCACAACCAATGCCGTTCACTAAGAGAGAACACTTGTATACTTTTCTTTTACATATCTGAATTTGTGGTTTTTCGTTTTTATACAGCAGAAAATATTGTATGTGCAAGAAACAAGTATTATAACCTGAATATTTCCCTTGAAATTTTAAAAACCAATGCCTGAACATCTTACCTATAAGAACCATGATCTAATTATATTATTACCACTTCCAATAATAAACCCAATAAAAAGATAGGGATGTAAAGCATTGAGATCTTACTTCGTTCAGACTTTGGATGATGTGGAAGGATCTCAATATAGCATGTATCCTTAAAGGAAGTTAATACAAATATCTTTACGCCATACTGCAATCAAACAGAAAATTTACATTAGTTATCTATTAAATGGTCCAGACCAGAATATACAAAACTGTTATTGCAAAAACATTCCAAGATATGAAATGTTAAGTCTTAATTTTATTTACATATATCTGTAAAAATCGCTCTTCATAGAAACTCGTCAAGCATACCGTGCATGAAGCTACAAACTAAATCATTTCACAATTAGTAATTGCAAAAATAAATAAATAAATAAATAAATAAAGTCCAATACTTTCTACAATAGAACTTTAAATTGCATGGTATATTTTATACTATGGGATATATTTTATTACCCAAGCTTGAAAGCCTTAAGAATCTAACGAATAGGAATGAGACACAAAATAAATTACTTGGATTCAGGTGTGTCTAACATGGGTATGCGTCCAACACAAGCATATACAATTTTTTCGAAGATTTCCATGTATTCGGATAGTCCTTGGAGGTTGGATACGGATGTTGGACTCAGGTGTATGTCTAACATGGGTATGTGTCCAACACAGATGTGTTCAATTTTTTCCAAGATTCCCATATACTCTAAGAGACCTTGGAAGTTGGACACAGGTGTCAGACATTGGAATTTCAAGAAAAATAAAGACTTGGAGTAACATAGTCCACAAATTGTGACCATTTTCATCTATTTAGACAATGTGAACAAAACTTTGCTCTCAGATAATTTTCCTTGTGATAACTGAGTTCACCAGCACAGGTACATGTAAGTATTTCTTTCAGAAGCTAAACATCCATATAGAACTGAAGTGGAAAATATTCATAAAACGTTGTGTAAAAGAAAAAAACATTTCACATACTAACGAAGTTTAAGCCTTATGGTGGTACAAAAGTTATGGTATAGATTCAAGTCCTTGCAATTCAACAGTCTCTTGGAAAAAAGTAGTAAAACCACGTTAGAAATTAGAGAGTTTGGTCATTGACATACCAAATCTGCAGCTGCTTGCAAGGTAACGTGATCACCCCATTCACCATTCCTGCTTCATCAATGGAAATAACTATACTAAGCATGAAAGTGTTCTTAGAAAGTTTTCTAGTCAAATCATAGAACGGAAATGAATTTTTTACTTGCTCATTTTCTTCAAATAGTCACCATAAGCCATTGGAACATAACCCCCGTAAATCTCTGAATTCGATGTAAGCTAATGAAATCAACATATCACGAGAGTAAAAAAAACATAAGACCAACAGGTTGAACCATGCGCCAAAGAAACTAAATTAGCTAAAATAAAGTGGAACTTACAAAAAAGCCAACCAACCTGGTAAACAACTTGCTGCCTCACAAACTTGTGGTGATCTTGAGAACGGTAAAGTTGATCTGATAATGAACGAAACTGGAACATATGAAATAAGAAAAGTTACTTAAGGTAATAACAAAGTGGTCTAATAAAAACTACAAGGCTACGCAGTCTTAACTAAATTTTGTAAAATGGTGTATCAATTCAATTTTGCTTTAATAAAAGTTAAGCATCAATCACTGACGATATTCTAGAGAACATAAGCCCTCAACAGAGTTTCATAACTAAATTTTGTAAAATGGTGTATCAGTTCAATTGGAAAATAAAGCCAAATTAAATGGAACCGAGAACTGCAAACTAATTCCTCTAAATATATATATATATATATATATTTCCATGTGCTTCAGTTTGTTGGATGCATAATCTGAGTAACTAATGACCAGAAGAATCACCATACTTATTGTGCAAGGTTTTAAAACACATAAAAGCTTTTCAACCAAATAGAAAAGAATCAGTGAGGAAGACAAATGAAAAGGATTTTTCCACATTTCATTACTTTAGAAGTCCATACAAACTTGGGGCCAAACTATTCACATTTCAATACTGAGCATTTTTACCACATCCACTAAGTTATGAACTGTAAAATGATTGCTAGAAGACCTGATTTCCATCATCCTATAATAACTCTAAGCAGACACTACAGAATTACCATGAATATTACAAACAGTGAAGTACTGCAAGAAATTCATGTTATATCTATTAGCACAATAGGTTTTCAAAAGAATCTACATCCAATATGTTCATATGCCTTATTAAGGCCCCTTTCAACCAATATGTTTATGTGTGGGGATCTATATCTCACAAATTCAGAAGAGAAAGCACCTGTTCATACTATTATCCAGTACTACATATCTTTCTACCGGACAAATAAAATGAAAACCAACCTGACAGTTACCGTCTCCTTGAACCTTATTCTCAACCAGACCATACAACTGCAACCTGAATGGTAAAACAATTAATCCTAAATTAAAATGCTATTAAAACATAACATTTATAAAATCAGAAAAAAATTGACCTAATAAATTTACTGCAAAAGTATTTCTTTTAAGAAAATGGAGAAAAAAACAAAATGAACCATTTTGGTAAAACAACTTAATCAATAACATGTTGGCTAAAGATACTACCGAAAAAATGATTGAGGGAAGGGGAAAAATAATTACTAAAATGGACCAATACAAGAGTTGGAACATTTTACAAAATTACAATAAAAAACCCCTAACAAATAAATTTATAATCCTACTATTTTAAAAGAAAAAAGGAATAAGGTGCAAAGGGCCCCTCCATCAATGGAAAATAGTTAGGGTGATGAAATTTATTTGCCACAAAATAATAGTTTAAAAAAAATAGATATGCCATTAACTACATAAAGGAAATTTTCAAGCCGAACCTATTAAGCAGCCTTTGATGGTCTGAAGTTTCTTCATCAACTGATGGTATTTCTCCATTAATTTTAGGTACATGCTGGACAATGCAAATCGTCAAAGTTTATACAAAGGAAATATATCATATGAGTTAATTTCAGCACGTGATAAACAGTGATCTTTCCATTTCCACAACATTGTGTACCACAAATCATACACCAACTTAAATATAGATTTCATAACATTCATCAGAAAATTTGGTAACCAATTTGCAAAATTGCAATCATCATTAAACTAAACATGTTATACACATGTTTTTTCAATAAACAATAGAGAAAAAGAAACAAATGGGCAAATCCTAACTAAAAAACACAATGACTGCAACAAAATTATAATAAATATAAAATCAACTAGAGATTGAAAGAGAATCCCAATAAATAACAAAACCTTCCAAGACTGTACTTACAGGAATAGCAACCATGTCATTCAACCTCTTCTCTACTTGACCATCGAGAACAGATGACTGATCGATTATATCAATACACAACATGTCTTCACCTTGACAAATTTTGTCTCCCATGCCAGAGTCACCACCTTGTTCGCAACTACTAATTATAGGATCATCTAAATCCGACTTTCCATGATTAACTTCATTTCCACGTCTTTGGTTAAGATCTTCTATGATTTTCTGCCCACGTTCATGATCTATACAATAGCACCATTTGTACATTAATAAAAGCCAATACAAGCATTGAGTCAGAATGCCAACTTCAGAAGTTCCAACTACCAGAACTATGTTGTCTTCCGGGAATAACATTCCAATCTTGAGCAAGAATGGAATCTTGGCTAAGATTGTTAAATCCAGATGCCTCTGCAGCAGCAAGTCGCGAAAGTTCCTCTTGAAGGGCATGTGCGATAACCACATCATTCTCCACATTTACATGTTCAGGTTCAGGTTCTTGATAACCCTCTCTAATATATCCAGTTTGACTATCGTCTTTGTCATACTGCATGACACTTCCACTGGCACCAGAATGGCCAAATACACAAACTTGTAGATCTTGGAGACCCCATCGAACAACGTCAGGATCTATATCACATGTAATCATTATTAAATTTATAAGACAACACCATCCACGTTCCTAACTGAATGTGTAGACTCCACAAAAGGAATTCTGCAGACAAGAACATAAAAGTAAATTAATCACAATTAGCACATGATAATATAACCATACAATAACAACAATAATAATATGCAAAATGTCCAAAGAAACTAGCATAGAAATTTCTTAAAATAGATTCTGGAAGAACACAATAACCTAAACCTAGAAAACAGAGAGAGTAATCATTCACGTGAGAACAAAAAGACCAAAAAGAAAACAAAAACCAAATTCCATATTCCAATTTCTTAAAAAAGGCTTATGGTTTTACAGATATAACAATCACAACAAATATCGTTACAACAAAAATTCTATAACATGATATAGTTGATTTGAATTAAGTTGCAACAACCGATATCCAGTAAAAAATTCCTCATATTACTTAAAAAGAACCAGTGAAAATTAACATATACAATGAATATCAATATCAAACAGTTTATATTTTCACTGTCTTTGTATTAGACTATATTTTAATCTCATTCAACAACTCATTGTGATGAATGAAATTTTAAATCCAGATTCATGTCTCCATTTCAATTACAATAATGAGATTATATATAATCTAATCGATAAATTTTTTTTCTTACATTTGGTTCTAGATTCTTTTCATTTCTCACAATCTTGTTCATCATTATTTTCCTCACATCTTTATATTATATAAGTTTTAAAATTAACAAGAGACAAATAAATTCCACCAGATTTTCTGATATTTTTCTTGAACCGATTCTTTCACAGATCATTGAATAAAATATCATTAATTTTCCTTACATATCTCTAAATATAGCATGCTTCAAAGGTTCCTATATACAATCACTCTTTTCTCATGCCTTCAGAAATCCAGTTCATCTTCTAAGTTTCCATGAAAAGTAACGAATATTTCCAATATCGGAGATTTTAAGGGATATTTAAAATATATAAAATAGAACAATGTATGAACAACAAATCAGGAAAAACTACATGGTGAAATTAGGGATTTTAAAAAAAAATCAGGAAATCAGGAAAAAGATAAATAATTGATTACAATCCTACCTGAAGAGGTTGAAGAGATTGTAAGCCTGGAGGAGAAGCCAAAGCCGAAGCCGAGACCTTTATACTTATCTTCTATTGCTTTACCCACCCTTGGGTAAACTGCAGGTTTGGTACCTAAACTTTATTTTGTTTCAAAACCATATCTAACATTTAGTTTAGGTTTCATTTTCGTACCAGTCATTAAAATCTTAACATAATTGTTGTTCGTGGAATTTTTATGGGTATATTATATCATTCATTACTCAACTAGCTTCTTATTCCTATTCTGGTCACTAAAGTTTAAATATTTTAATTTAACTACACAACTTTCAATTTTCTCATATTTTAATCACTCTAGTTTATTTTATTAATAATTTTGTGACATTAAATTTTTATTATTATTTTATTTATATATAATTAAAATAAAAAAATTTGAAAGTTAGAGTGATTAAATTAAGATTAATTAGTAATTAAATTAAAAAATTTAAACTTTAATAACCAAAATAGGGGCGATAAAATAGTTGAGTGATGAATAATGTAATTTTCCCATAATAAAGTGCCACGCCCAATAGTTTCGTTAAATTTTTAACGGCAAGGTACCAAAACGGAAAAAAAAGTAAATATTAAGTATGATTTTGAAAAGAAACGAAAGTTTAGATATCAAAACAAGATAAAAGTATTAGTTTAGGTACTAAACATGTAGTTTACTATTTATTTTTTAGGTTAAATTACACCACAGGTTATTAGTAAAATTATAGATGACACATTATATTTTAAAGGTTATAAACGGGTCATTGATTGTAACAAATTAGTTATTTTAATGTTAAATAAGTAAAGGATGTTAATTTTTTAGTTGAAATTAAAAAATTTGAAGGCTTTCTAACGACAAAATAAATTAATTATAATCGATTAATTGAATGATTTGTTCGTAAATATTTTGAAGGCTTTCTAACTTTTTTCTTTTATTGGAATTATTGAGAAATCTAAATTTTAATTTGGAGATCCTAATATAATAATTGGATTATTATATAGTTTTAATAAGCGTGCTTTTGCATCAGTCTTTATTATTTAAAGCATTACATTATTTAATGTATGTTTTTCAAATTTCCACTCTAAAAATATATTATATTTTAACGATTTTTTATATGATTATAAAAATATCCGCAACCTCTTTCAAATTTATATTAGTCAGATTGATTCAACTTGGATAATGATTTAATTATAAAATATGAATAAATTCTAATATTTTAAACGAAGGTTTCAAAACTCAAACAAATAAAAATGATATTTACCATACAAACCTAATCCAATGAAGAAAAGCAACGTTGAAAACTAAATACACCTAAAACACAACAAACAACGTGTGAACAACTTGGTACTTAATTCTTGGCTTATTCCGCTGTTCCTTGCCATCTTTCCAACCAAAAGCAAAACTTGAGGCGATTGTCAAGCAATTATTAAAGAATTGGTGGTCCATGTGTTACTTATTGTCTTCCATGGGAAACTTGGTAATAAAGGAATGTTTAAAAAGGGAATTCCGTGACGCATTGCATTACATGCCTTTTGTTATACTATTCTAACTTATCACGCATGATGTCTGCAAATCTACCTGTGGACTCTTTACTGGTCTGACTCTTGTGATTGGTCAAATTGGGGCGGTTCGTTTATACCTACAAGATAAAGCTACCTGTCCATGATCCATCGGAAAAGTAAAACACAAATTGGGTATTGGTTTCTGTTACAATTTCGGAATTCTGGTGAAAGGCTACAAGATTTGGCAAACAGGGAGTCGTACAACTCGGTTTGAAAAATACCATCTTGATATCGACTTCTAATCTTCAATGGCGTTTCCTCCTCCATCCGACTGTTTTTCTTGCTCTTGTTGCTCTGTAAAACAAAATATTTGACACCACTGGACGTTAAGTAATCAGACTCAGACAATTACAGGATAGCACATGATCCCAGAAGTTCAACTATTCAAGTATAAATAAAGGACTATGTCCATGGGGTCTGGGGAATGTCCCAATGTACCCAGCTATGTTGTCCCAACTCTTTTTTCTTTAGGTATGGGATATAATCTCCAAGGATCCTCCAAATATGTGGGATATCATGAAAAGAATCTAACATTACCCGTATCAGATTCATATCCATATCCGAATAAATTGGGCCCACAACCTTCCCCCCGTCTGCAAAAGAGGATGTTTCCGGGTTTGACCCCATGATTAAGCGTATAACACCAGACCATTACACTGTTAAACCATATAACTAAATGTGAAAACTAAAACTAAAAAACACACCAACTTCCTTTATATATATATATATGTATGTGTGTGCATTTCACATGGTACACAACTCTTTAACTGGCAATAAGCTATATTACTAGGGTGTGAATGTTAGAATACAAGTATTTATCCATGGGTATCTTCGATTTTATTTTCAAACTTTTACACGTAATTGGATGGTCAATTGGTCATATCCCCATCCATGTCCAAAAATGTGTCCAACATAAGTGTCAGCTGATATATGATGAATCCGATCAAACGGCATAGGTAATCAGACTTTAAAGCAGATTCGGAGCATGAATCTCATTTTTTTGGCTAATATTAAGGTTCCCATGAAAATTGAATCTAATTTGAATAGTCTGTATGTGTAGAAGAAATAGGTCGATTTGCTTACCCATAAGTTTGAATATTGCCTTCTGTGTGCGCCTTTCAAGCTTATCGAGCTTCTTCTGGACATCCCTTCGAAGATCCCAGTTTGGTTTCTTGGGACCAATGTTGACAAATGGATCCTACACCATTTGATCCACAATTAGAACAAACAGAAAGAAACACCGTTTGGTTAAACATGATATTGACAATAAACAAGCACCTCTTTTTCTTCAGGTGCTGGAGGTGCTGCTGCAACAGGGTCTTCAAACTTCAGCAGCACGGGAGGAGCAACCTTACCATCCTGAAGCTGTTTATCATGAGGTTAGTAATTTCGGAACTTCATGCTAGGGTTACTGCATAACAAAAAGACAAGGTACGCATGTTAATGATGACAATTGTCCGTGAAAGAGAAACAAGCAGAGATCCAAGTCAACAAACATTCTATAACTTTATGCTGAAAACTCTATGGTATGAAAAAAGACCAGCAGCGAAGTTGTACGTTTTGATGATCAGAATTTTTGGTTCAAGGAAAGTAAACAGATAGCCCTCTTAATATAAGTTATGTGATTCATCTTGGTACAAGTAGTAAACAACAAATACCTAAAATATATTGAGATCTACGAGTAGGCCGGAAAGTGGAAGGAATTAAGGAAGAACACTGTTGTTCATTTTTCAGGAAGGCAATGAAGAACAAGGGTTACACGTCTCAAGAATACCTTACAATCCCACATTTGTTCAACTTGCAAAAGCTGAGATGACATGAATGGATAGGATCATTGCCCTCATCCTTAATTTTCCTTTCAACTTATACAACTTTGGTTCAACGGAAAAATCAGAAGGATACAAAAATTTTCAGCAGAACTTTATGTTAACCTCGTTCCTACCACACTAGAAAGCATATCCCTTGGAATAAAAATTCCCCGGTCCGCCCAACTTCTCATCCTTCTTAACAAGCAAAGCCTCTTAGAAACAGAGGCAATCCGGGGTCCTTTCCACCACACAACCAAAAGCCTTCCTGACCTTCCTCTTTTTCCAAATTATCCGTAAAAAAGGAAACACTAGCATCTCCTTGCTGGTCTAATTCTGAAAAAGGACACCCAAAACCAGCAAGCAGCTTCATGCGGAAATAATTTTTCACACAAAGTCCTATTTGGTGCAAGCAAGCGACCAATCCATACCCCAATATCTTAGTACTTGAATGCATATTTTATTTAACACTCCAAGGTGTGTTTGTGCGTGTATAAAACAAAATTTTAAAGAAAAAAATAACAATCCAACATAATCAAGACTAATGAAGTTGAAATTGAGAGAACTGTTGAGGCTCAAGTTTCTAGCATACTGTTTCTACTCAGCTCGAATCATTTAAACCCTAGGTATATTAGTCAATTTTAAATATGAAACATGATATTCCTATACCCTTAGTCCAAAACAACCATATTTCACAAGATAAACAAAACCCATCATTAAACCAATGGTTAAAACATAGTTAATATTAAATTTATGCTCAATAAAAAAGGAGAACGAAAAAAATCAATTTCTGGGTTGGAAATTAAACAAAATATGTAAGCTTTCATGCTATTCCTGTGCATGTTGTACAAAACAGCCATATCTCCACAAGATAAACAAAACCCATTATTATAGCATAATGCATACTAATTTTATGTTGATAAACAAAGAAAAACGGAAAAAATAAATAAGACGTTTTAGTTTCATCCGTTTGATTCTCAGCAGCTTCAATAGAATCTTCATCTGGGGCATTCAATAGTTCCTGAGCTGCTTTAAGAGCCTTAAGCCTCTCTCGACGTGACGCAGCTGCTTGTTCTATCGACTCCTCTTCCTTAGCCATATCTCGTCGTTTTCAGTGAAGTCGAGCTGGGGTTTCTCTTATATAAATGGGGGATTACTTGATTTTAACTTCTTAGCGAGTTTTCTTGGACCTTTAAACCATTTCAAATACTAAAATCGAGAGTGTGAATTTCATTTTCATTACTTGATCGGTCAATGAATTTTCTCCTGCAAAGAAAACCTTTAACCTCTAAAAAAACCTAATTTATCCATTACAAATTTAAATATTTTTTATATTCTTTTTTAATAAGTAAAAGCAAAATAATATACACGAACGTTAAGTTTTTTTTATTTATTTAGAAGGGTTATAAAATAATATTTATTTAAATATTCTTAATCATTTAAACATAAATGTTTAAATATATTAATAAACAACATACTTAAATTTAGGACATCTAAAAATAAAAATCATTCATTTTAACCAATGGTATTGTGCTAGGTAATATCATAATTCAAATTAATTGATACAATGGGAAGTGTCTTTTTTTTAAATATACAATTTTCTTTAAAAAAAAATAGAATAGTAAAATGAAAGGTTTTTTTTCATATTTAGATGATATAATATTAAAATTAGTCCTCAATATTTATTAAAATAATTATTTTGGTCTCTATTTTTTTTTAGTATTTTAGAATTTTATTTTAGGGCAAAAGGCCTACAACATTTTACTAAATAGTCACTTTAACCCTTATTCTTTTATTTTGAAATATTTTGATCCTCAAAATTTCATTTTAAGATAAAATCCTATTTTTTGTATTAATCATTTGTTAATTAATAGTTTTCATCTATGGATAAGTCTTTTTGTCTCCAAAATAAAATATTGGAGGTCAAAATATTTTAAAAAGAATAATGATTAAAATAATTATTTTGATAAATGTTGGAGGTTAATTTTGATGCTATGCCTTTTTTGATATCTAAATAGAAATTATAAAAAAAATCAAATTCTGTCAAAAAAAAATAAAAAATAAAAAATAAAAAAGAAGAAGAGAAAATTCAAGGAGTTGAGAAAAAATAGTTCAATTTTTAGAAGATATAAAAATATCTTATCTCAATGGTTTTTACCAAGATTGTAAGAATTCAACCAAATGCAAACCACGGTCTGTTAACAAGTTCTCACAATGTTCGGCTACCATGTTCGCCAAATCAAACATCCATTATCCCCACTTATCACATCAAAAAACCTTCTTTTCCAGCCATCTCTTTTCGATATATTCGAACTCTTCGAATCCAATTGAGGGCTCACCATATCACTTGATTCAACAATCATGTTCACCATTTCCATAACTTCACTCATTTTGGGACGTAGTTTGGGTTGACGAGCCAAGCATTTGTTAGCCACAGCAGCAAGTTTATGAGCTGACTTGATCGAATACTTGCCATTGAGCCTAGGGTCGATGATCAGCCTGAACTTTTTTAGATCGGAGATGTGTGGTCGGACCCATTCCAAGAGCTTTTCTTCACCTTTGGGGCGGTTCCTATCCAATGGACACCTTCCGGTTATGAGTTCGTAAAGGAAAACTCCATAGCTCCAAACGTCACTTTTGACCGTGAGGCGTCCGGTTTGAATGTACTCAGGCGCTGCATATCCAATGGTTCCCACAACCTGCTCAGCAAAGTGCACCAACTGATACATCCGCGAAGAAAAACTACAATGTTAAAAACATAATTTATAGCAACTTTGAACCTACTGCAGTTGAGACGTGGCTTAATCCATCTGAAGGTCCCAATCTGGCTAACCCGAAATCTGAAAGCTTTGAATTCCAATTTTCATCCAAAAGAATATTTGACGACTTGAAATCTCTGAAGATTATCTGTAGCGATCATAAAATAAAATTCTTTGAAACAGAGGTCATACAAATATCTCATTTACACCTTAGTTCAGTCTATTTGCATTATACAACCTTTAAGAGTACCTGAAAATCCATTCCTTCATGGAGGAATGCTAAGCCTCGAGCAGCATCCCGGGCGATTGTCAACCTGGTTGCCCAAGGAAGAGTTGTTTGAAACCGAGTTGACAAATGATCCTGCACACTCCTGTTGGGCATATATTCATATATCAGTAGTCTCTGTATTCCTCTTTCATCATCCTCTGCACAGTAACCCAATAATTTCACCAGATTTTGGTGCTCAACTACCCCTAACACATTCACTTCAGTCACCCATTCTTTGTGCCCCTGCGAACATGAAGTGGAAACAAATTTGACAACCATATGTTACATAAAAGAACATACAACATGAATAATTTCTTTTCTCAGTATGAGATATTATCTGCTTCCGACATCAAAGGACTGTTGTTTGTCCTTCACGTGTCGATCATGGAGGTCTAAATTGTTGGCTTCTCGGTACAGAATAAAGCCTATGTGAAATGAATGGTACATCATGCACAGAAATGAAGACAAATTTGCAGGCATGTTATCCATAAAGAATTCGCCCCGAACTAGAGCTTCTATCGAAGTATCAGAAGCCGTTTTTGTTACCAGTGGTTAAAAATTCAGGAAGCTGACCTGAAACCCTCTTCGGTTGAGCTGTTTAACAGCAATGTCGATTTTCTTGTGGGAATCTTCTGAGTTTCGGATTGTACCCCTATAAACACAACCAAACCCGCCTTCACCAATCATCAGGGATAGACTAAAGTTCTTTGTTGCAGTCTTCAACTCCGAGAACATGAACTCTCTGAGATTACTTTGTCTTTGAGACATAACAGCAAACGAGTTCTTGGTGGAAGAATTTGAGCTAAAATCCGAGACATTCCTGGAACTAGACTCCGACCCAGATTTTCCCATTTCGTTTTCGGTTGTCATGGAAACAGATGTGGAAGATTGCATTGAAACCGACTTAGTAGTTTTTGGTTCACCATTCTTCACTTTACTATTGAAATAGAAACACTTCATTGCCGCAAAGAATCGAACAGCTTCACTGCAATATTCACAATATCTACAAGGAATTAGTTTCGGTGGAGCAAAACAACCTTATCAATGCAAACTAAACTTTCCAGCTAATATTCATAACATGAGACAAAACAGCCTTATCAACTCAAACGACGTTAGCCTTACAAGTCAAACATGGCAGCTAAATACCATTGTTCTTTGTCTGCATTTCTTCTTCTTTTTTCCCAACAAGACTCCATAAAAAAATCTTCATCTTTGACACAAAATAATCAAAACCCAATCGCCATATCCACAACTAAATTGTAGCAAAGCCTCAAATGGGACCAATTTCTAGTGCAATAAGTTTTCAAACACCCAACAAACCAGTAAACCATGAAAAATATGTAAATTCTTACATCTGCAGTAAAGATATTCAGCAACATTTTGAACTATAAAAGACCAAAAATAACAATTGAAGACACTTTTGTGAAAAAATTCAAGAAAGAACTCACCTTTTAATAATGTTTCAAACAAACAAAAAATCAATAACAAAGTAGTCAAATTTACTGGTTCTGATGTTATACAAATACCCAGAAATCCGAAAAAAAGAAGAAGGTAAAATTAAGAACAATGATCTAATAGCTTACCAACCAAGAACCATCCACAGAATATAAGAAGCACCAAAATCAGATTATGGTATTATGTCTAGGAATTCAAGAACAATGCAGTTAAAGTGGGAAAAATGAAAAGATTTGGTTGTCATCTTCAAAAAAAGGATTTTGAACCAATTGAAGAGAATTCAATTCATCCAACGCATATTCGAATATATATATATATATATATATATATATATATATATATATATATAGTATAATTCTTTGAACATAAATATATAAGACACGTACCATCTAGAATACAATAAAGCATAGGGAAAAATATGTAAATAGTCCCCTTTGTTTTTAGTTTGGTCGACTTTGGTCACTAATTTTTTAATTAAGTGTTTTTGGTCTCATACATTATCGATACGTTCGATTTAAGTCCCTCGGAGGTTTAACAGATGTGTGACATGCCAATTATAAGATAATAAAAAATTCCACATTCACCAGCTGTGTACATTTTATTCTTCCTCTCATTTCTTCTCCTTCATCTATTATTATTTTCTTTTTATTCCTCTGCACATGGGTATAAAAATAAAAAAAAATAGTTTTTAGCTCATTTATCTCCCCTCTCAAAATTAGAAGAGAGAGAAGCTTTAGAATCTCGTTAGTTATCCGTCTCTCACCACTGACGTTAGGCATCGCTGACAACCATTTGCCACTGCCCTCTACGTGTATCTTCTTCTTCTTTCACATTAAACCACACATGACCGACCATTTCAATTCTACAAACTCATTTCTGATCTTTTAGTGTTTTACCTCGTCCTCCATCCGATGTTAGAAATCCAACACAACCCTCGCCTTGCCCATAAGCTTCCACGGTAACCCATTTAATAGCAACATTACCTGCCTCATTAGGAGACCTCAATCGTCGCCCCATGGCTGCAGTGATTGAGTGTTGGTCCAGTCGAGCCACCACCGCCATCACCACTGATGACGACATGGTTGAGTAGGCTTTCATACGCTCTAATGATCGATTCGAAGACACCTCTACCTCCTGATGGAAAATGAGTGAATTTATTGATGGGTTTAATATTTAAATTAAACTCATATTCCTTTTAATATTGCAAATTAAGATATATTCTTTTATTTGAATATTAGTAGGATAATTATTCTTTTAAATATGTCAAATTAATAGGTATTTATTATATATTTAACTTTGAATATTAAAAGATAATTATATACTTTGAATATTTCAAATTAAAATAATGTCTATTTAAATTTGAATAATAAAAGGAGTTTAAATCTTTTGGATATTTCAAATTAAAAGATAACATTATATGTTTAAATTTGAATATTAAGAGATATTTAATTGGAGTAAATCTCTCCTGAAAATCCCCTATAAATAGATAACTAATCTTCCAGGTTTTACACATCTCAGAATCCAAGAACTTCATAAATCTTGAAAAAATATTTTTCTATCGTTAGTTTTCGGTGATAGACAAAGTCAAGAAGTAATTTGTGATCTCGAAAGTTGTGCAACTATTCAAAGATCATCTAGTTGTTGTATCATGGGAGACAGACGACCAATGATCTCAAGCACCAAAGGAATGGCCGAAAATCTGTCTTAAGGAAACTGTGTAGCGACATGCCTCAACTGTTTCCGATCAAAAGAACAATCAAGGGAAGAGTATTTTTCTTTCAAGTTATTTTTATTTATTTATTAAGAAGTTTAATCTGGTTCATTTTATCTTCTCAGGTGTAATTATGGTCTCGGATTGTTATAATTCTTACAATCCTAAGACAAGTAAACTCATTATTTATCATTAATTAGGTATAATGATATTTTATAGTTATTATCATTATATTATTTTTATATATCATTCTCGGATTAATGACTTTTGTCAAACAATCTTAAGACAAATTCTAATCTTATTTTTTTCGAGATGATATAGATTTGTTTCAGTTTAATCCTTGTTGTATACAAGGGACGTGCCAGAAATTCGAAAGAACAAATATTGAGCCAAAATTAAGAGGAATTTGCGCAAACGATAAGTTTCCTTCAATTCTGAATTCTGAATTCTAAAATCTTTTGTGTTTAATTTTTTTGTGGGACATGTTTCCACCAATTACTGTGTAGGAATTCAAATAATTAAGTTTCAAAATCTTTGCAAGGTCTTTGTGGTTGCGCACTTTGTGAGGGCACATATTGAGTTTTGATAGTTCAAGTTTTTATTGATAATGATGAAATCAATCAGGTAGGTGAAATTTTAATATTTCCTTATAATATGAGGTGATTCGAAACTCTTTCTTCTACCTTTCTTTAATATGAAACGGTTCAGATATCATGGTGAAAATGAGATAGCAAATAAATTTGTTTCGGGATTTATCCTGTTGTTTTAACGGGTTTGGAAAAATCTCAGAGTTGACAAATCTGTTCAACAGAAATTGTCGTGAAAGTAACGTTACTAATTTTGTTTCAAAACGTTGTTTCTGTACGATAACAAAATCGAAAATAAACAAGAATCACTTTTATGTTTATTAGAATCTTTGATTTCATGTTGGAAATCAATTGAGGTTTTAATTCTGTTGTCTAACAGAATTACTTGATTACTATTTATAATAGAAAACATTTGAAAGTAACAATTTTGTTACTCATTTAGTTTGTAACTAAATTTTTTTGGGAGAATAAACCAGAATTTACTTTTGGTTTATTGTTGGAATTATTATTAATTCTAATTTCGTGTGCTAAACGAAATCATGATTTTCGATGGCCATGAGTCACAATGAGAAACCTTTAAAATTCTCTTAACATAAGATGTTATTTTATTTGGTAAATTAGACCAAATATCAGATGATCCTTCTATTATTAGAGATGATGAGGTAAACGTTGTTTCCATATTTATTGATGTTAAAGCTTGGGAGTATTCTAACTTCCTCTATTGAAAATATATCCTAAATGAATTATCGAATACACAATATAAAGTGTATATTATCCATAAGATGTATAAAATAATGGATGACTTTAGACCATAAATACGAAATAGAAGATGCTGACACTAAGTAAGTTTTAGAGGTCAAGTTCTTAAAATTCGTAATAATAGCACAAACGATGAGAATAAATATTTCATTACCTCTATTAATATAGCAAAAGTATTGCTATGTGTATTTGCTAAAAGAGCAAAAGCGAATTTATAGAGAAAATTATTTTATGTAAATATGAAGTTGAAAACCAACTTAAAAGATTAAGATGGTAAAAAGTGATTGTGCACAAACATGATATTACTCATGAAGTGACATCACTATATTCTCCTAAAGTAAACGTAGTAGCAAAGTGGAACAATTGAACAATGAACGCAATGCTAAGAAGTTATGAGTTGTCACAAAACATGTAAGGGAGAGAGAAGTTGTTTTGTCAACTAATAACCTTTTAAATAAGGTCCCTAGGAAAGTGAAAAAACACCATATGGGTTATGAAAAGATTGGAAACCTGTGTCATACAAACACTTGAAAATGTGTGGGTCTCTTGAGAAGGTAATTGTCATATTACCAAAATAAATGAAAATAAATCCTAAATGATGGATTGTATTTTCATTGACTATCCTACTATCTTAGAATGATAGATCGATGCTAGTTGGAATTTGATATTTAAAATATCAATGGCACAAGTGAATATGTTTCATATTGGAAAGAAAAAGTGATATGGAAATCCTTAAGAAAATGGTTAAACCAGATTCATAGTGAAATCTGAGTTTGAAGCTCTAGACAGGTCTGAGTTATCTATGTTAATTTTGTAAGATCAAAGGATAAAATTGTGGAACCACTAACCAAAGGGTTAAATTGAGATCAAGTTAAGAAAACATCTAAAGGAATGTGACTAAAACCCATGAAATTTAAAGGCTTTATGTGAAGGAAAACCCTACCTTGTTGACTGGAGATCCCAAGATCTAGGTTCAAAGGGACAACCTAATTTCATAAACCGTGTACGGTCACTATGAGATTTTTTTCCCCAATTTCATTCATATGATGTAAACAGTGATCAAAGTGGTATATGATAAGCAAAGCTTTTAATGATCATTGTGTGCTTCGGTGAGCCGAGCAACATAAGTCACCTATGTGAGAGTGAAGTGGGGCCGCTTCAAGAAGACCATTGGGCATAGTTCTTTCAAACACTTGCAGAACTAGACGATGTCCATGGCTTTAAGGACATACCCATGAGAACTAAATTCTTGTCAGATAGGTAGTCGTGTAAAGTATGTCATCGTTTACATAAACGAAAAAACAGTTCAAAGACATCGTTTACAACTATCGATCGTAGAGGCTATCACCACATTGAGTCAAAATGTTTTTGATAAAATCATCAATTTCATTCATATGGGGGATTGTTGGAAAATGAATGAATTTATTGATGGATTTAATATTTAAATTAAATTCATATTCCTTTTAAATATTGCAAATTAAGAGATATTCTTTTATTTAAATATTAGTAGATAATTATTCTTTTAAATATGTCAAATTAATAGGTATTTATTATCTATTTAACATTGAATATTAAAAGATAATTATATACTTTGAATATTTCAAATTAAAATAATATCTATTTAAATTTGAATAAAAAAATGAGTTTAAATCTTTTGGATATTTCAAATTAAAAGATAATATTATATGTTTAAATTTGAATATTAAAACATATTTAGTTGGAGTAAATCTCTCCTGAAAATCCCTTATAAATAGATAACTAATCTTCCAGGTTTTACACATCTCAGAATTCAAGAACTTCATAAATTTTGAAAAAAATTATTTTTCTCTCCTTAGTTTTTCCGGTGATAGAAAAAGTCAAGAAGTAGTTTGTGATCTTCGAAAGTTGTGCTACTGTTCGAAGATCATCTAGTTATTGTATCATGGGAGACATATGACCAACGATCTCAAGCACTAAAGGAGTGACTGAAAATTTGTCTTAAGGAAACTGTGTAGTGACAAGCCTCAACTGTTTCCGATCAAAAGATTAATCAAAGAAAGAGTATTTTTCTTTCAAGTTATTATTTATTTATTTATTAAGAAGTTAATACGGTTCGTTTTATTTTCTCAGGTGTGATTATGATCTCGGATTGTTATAATTCTTACAATCCTAAACCAAGTAAACTCATTCTTTATCATTAATTAGGTATAATGATATTTTATAATTATTGTCATTATATTATTTTTCTATATCATTATTGGATTAACGACTTTTATCCAACGCCTTTTTCTTC